TTTGTTCTTGTAAATGTTTTAGGAAAAGGTCGATACACATTTCCTGGTTTCAATTATTTTTATATTTGTCCTTGAAAAATTGTCACGAGTCACAGTTTTCGACTGTTCGTTGACTTATCTATAAAAATAGAGGCGATTTCTATGCCTGATTTCTTACCTGTGCTGATTTAAATTTCAGGACATCTGTAGAAATGGAAATTGCAGCTTCGTAACAGACTCAGAAGGAGAGCAGAAAAGCCTGCTCCACAGGCTTCTTAGCAAACTTTCCATGTGGCCCGGAGCTCTGAGTTAGATGCTGTGCTTTTAGTACCACAGCACTGTCAGTATGTCACTGCTTACTCTGTGCTATTTTGGGTTCTCCAAGTGGAAACATGAACACTGAGCCTTTTGTGGAAAATATCATAAGGGCATTCTGATGTCCGTTCATAGTCTGAGATAAAAATGGAGACAACTGAACAAGTAGTGAGATGATCATCTTTTTCCCCCTCCTTGTTTCTTCCTTATTTTGTATTTTTCCTAAAAACAAGCAAAAGGAAAATACTAGCTTGAGGTGACAAGACGGGGATTATGTAAGAAAATTCTTCAAGTCCAGAGGACACGACCCCCGCTTGGGGATTAGCCCAGGAAACAAATGATCGATTTAAAGCAGACACAAAAGTTGCAAAAAGGAGAAAAGACCTTCCCTGTATGTCCAGGGCTTCTAGCTGCTTCTTAATACAGACATTTCCTCTTAAGACTCAAGTAAATAGAACACTGAAAAGACAGCAACTAAATCTTAACTACTTGATTTCCCTTGGCTTAGTCATGAAACAAAATGTTTACTGGCTAATACATAATTCAGATCAGTAACAAAATTTTATTATTTATTAAAAGATAAACATCATTTTCACATTGTACACTCAATTCTATTAAAATAAAATTAGTTTTTAATCAAATCAGAGAAAAGTTAAAATAATGTAAGCAGTCTCTAAAACGTTATTTAATTTCAATGTAACTATTCTAAGCCTACAGTATGTGGTTTCTGTGAGGAGATAATCCTCCATTTCTGGAGTTTAATGTAATCTGGGCTATGCAGGTCATTAAGTGCACCACCTGTGTACAATTCCCACAGAGGCCGGAAGAGGGCATCCATTCCCATGCAACTGGATTACAGATGATTATTAACCAACAAAAGGGTGAAAGGAATGGGACTTGGGTCCTCTTCCAGAGAACCAAGCACTCTTCACTGCTCAGCCATTTCTACGGTCCCTGCATCTCCATGTTTTTAATATTACAATAAAGATGGCAGCATACAAAGTAGTTCATAAGTAAAAGAAAGCATGTGTTGCTGGATTCACGCTTATTTCATACATGAACATACCATACTGTAACCTAATTTTATTACTCACAAAGGGCCAAAATTAGTGCTGGGGAAATGGTTTAGTGGTTAAGAGCACTGACAGCTCCAGCGTAGGACCTGGGTTCAGTTCTCAGCAAGTGTACAGTACTCCAGTGCCCAGAACTCCAGTTGCAGGGAATCTGACTACCACTTCTGACCTCCATGAGTATTGCAAGCAGGTGGTAAACTTACATTCATGCAGGCAAAACATTTATACAGGTTAAATAAAAATAAAACAACAAAAAAGATGAATTACCTAAAATTGGTAGGTACCTTTGTATATTATGTAAAATAATAGAGTTAAGCTCTATCTGATTATAGATTTAGCAGTATTTACAAAATGTATTTATATACTTATTTATTTTCAAACATGTTTACAACAATTATAGTTCTCTTAATTTGGGATATTATAAAATATCCACAATCATTAAAGCATTAAAACAAAATGAAGAAATGCATTAAAGATTCATTGATTCCTACATTTTACCTGAATCAACTTTTTTTTTAATGATATAGGGTCTCCCTGTAGCTTTGGCTGCACTATGTAGACTGGACTGACCTTGAACTCATAGAGATCTGCCTGCCTCTACCTCCAGAGGGACGAGATTAAAGGCATGCACCACAATGCTCAGCTAATTGAACAAACTTTCATAGCAACCTCAGTCCAAAATGCTTTTTATGAATGTATAGATATACAAATTTATGTTTAAATATTGTAAAACATGTGATTGAATATATATCAATTTAGTTCTTTAGTTTTACAGATAACATGTTTTTCTTTCTTTTTTTGAGGCAACCCACTTAAAATTCAGAATCTCTTCTTTCCTGCCAAATGGACTTCAAAGTTTCTATGATCATTCCGTTTTGTTCTGGCAGAACGGAAAGGCTGTGTTCCTGTTCAGGTTGATGGTGATATGTCTTCATACAGGAATTGGTCTTCCTGGGCTATAGATGGCTTGTGCCTATGCTTCATGTGAACAACACCTTTGTGGACCTGGCAGTTGTTGCATCAGGCTGGGTTAACCTGCAGTCATTGGACCAATTTTATTCAGTTTTAAATACATGGGTTGGGGTTGGTGAAAGATGGTAAGCTGATCATTTCATGTCATGATAGTCCTTCAACAACATTTTTTACTCATAATGTGTACCTTTGAATGCAACCCTGATTTTCTTTGAGCCTCATGTGCTGCCATTTTCATAGATACAGTCATGCTTCTGTTCCAGGCACCCTAAACAAACACAAAAGATTGCTTGCATAAGGAGTTTGAGAGGTAAAAAAAAAAAAAAAAAAAAAAAAAAAAAACATGTCAGAGAAGAAAAATGCAAATCACAGCTCTTCTCAGTGAGTCCTTACCTTACTTACTTTTTCTTCAAGTTCTAACTCATCTAATGAGAGCTTTGGTGCTAACTCATCAGGCATCCTTCTTATAATCATTGTGCCCCATGTCCTACTTCTCAGCATAGGGTAAACATCAGTCCTCACATAACTATAAATACTACACTTCATATTTTTCATAAAAAGTAAGGATGAAAAACAATTATTTGAGTATGACTAGTGATTATTTCTTCTCAGAGTTAAGATGCTGAAAATAAAAATCTTTGAATTTCAAAAATATTGATTTGGACATTAATTTAAATACCATCCAGCTTTTCAATGTCTTCTTTGTTTTGGATGTATTCATTTGTCTTCTTGAGCAAGAACTGTCACTAATTCTGTAGATAATAACTTTGAAGGAAAATGCAAGTAAATTAAAATTTACTATAGAAACTACAATCCTAATTATTCTATGTGGGTTACAAAACTGTAAAGATGCCCAGACTTTTCCAGAAGGAACTATTGAGAACATTTTGTTAAAGATATAAGGGAGCATAAATCATTAATCTTATTTTCCAAATCTCTGCCATGTTTATGTTATTTGATTACTTTTATATTTCTTTGATTTTTTGGTTAGTCTTACATTGAGCATGTGTTTAAAATTATGCTTAAATTTTGAGTCATCTGTCTGTTAATGCTTGGACTTGGAACACATCCTGCTATGTACATTGTCAGCTGCCTGCTTTCTATTTGCATAATTTAGGTGTTTCCCTAGAGCTGACATTTGCACTTGAATTTCACTGCTTATACTATTTGATCTTTATGGGAGAGGTTTTTTCATTCACTTTTAAAAATTCAGTTTGATTTAATTTTTAATTAAAGTATTTTATTTACTATTTTGTATTTTATGTGTATGAGTGTTTTACCTGCATGTATGTAAGGGCACCTTGTCATGCAGTACCCATGGAGCCAGAAGAGGGCATCAGATCCACTAGAACTTGAATTACAAATGGCTGTTAAGAACCATGTGGGTGCTGGGAATTAAACCTGTATCATCTGTAAGAGCAGCTAGCACTCTTAACAGTTGAGACAGCTCTCCATTCCCCAACTTTTAAAATTTTTTATTGATTGTTTTATTTCTGCAATTTTCATGCAATAAAATGTGGTGGCATTTAGAGTCCTCCCCTCCATTCACACCTTCTGCCAGTGTCCCCTGCTTAATTCAGTGTACTCCATTATATATATAATATGACCTATAGAGTCTGATTTGCGTGTCCACATGTCTCTGAGCAGAGGTTCATCTACTGGAGCCTGGTCAACCTACAAAGAGTCCCATTCCTCGAACAGGCTGTGTCTCCCGTTCCAGCAGTCATCAGTTGCCAAAAGTTCATTAAGCTGGGTTGGAATGTCTTACCAACTTCCTCAACATCTATGCTTGGATTTTGCCTGCTTTGAGCTTTCATGAAATTTGTGGATGCTGTCACCATCGCAGTGAGTTCATATGAGTAACTGGTAAGCTCTCTGGAAGACTCTGTTTCCTCATGGCCATACAATATTTTTGGCAATTATCCCTGAACGTTCTTTTTTTAAAAAAATTTAAGCTCCCTGTGGTGGAAATTTGTAAACATACAACTTTAAAATACCCTGAAAACAGACACTCAACTTTGAAATCATCAATATTTTTGTTTCTTATTTTATCTAATTCTTTGAGGACATTTTCTGGAATATTTTACTGCAATTATCAGATGTATATCTTCCGACTCTAAGATATTTGATATTAATCTTACAACTCACAATTTATTATACAATTATAATGCAATTATTTCACAAAGTCAACATTAAACATAATTTCTCACTGTTGTCCTATATCTAGTCTAGATTTGAATTAATTCAAATAACAATTGAAACCACTTACTATGAAGTTTAATATTTCATTTTCCTTTACAGCTGAATAGAATTCATCATGTATACGTCCCACATTTTCCTAATCCATTACTCATTTGAAGGACATTCACGCTATTTCCATTTCCTAGTTATTGTGAAAGGAGCTGCAATGAATATGGCTGAGTAGGTTATCTCAGTTGCTACACTGCATTACACAGTGGTTGCACAAGTTTGCTCCCCTACATGAGTGAATAAGGGTTTCTCTTTCCCACCATCCTTTGTTGGCAGTTATTTCTTTGATCTTAACCTTTCTTATTGTGGTAAGATTAAATATTTTTGCAATATTTTTATTATTCCTTTGAGGATTTCATATAATATATTTTGACCATATTCAGAAACCCTCCTTTATTTCCTCTCAGATCCATTCTGACCTTCCTACTCCATACTTCCTGTCCTCTATGAAATAGAATTTTTCTAATTTATTTTTACACTTTTACACTTATATTGAATTTTGTGATTTCATATACTATATTTTGATCATATTTAGATTCTCCTCCTCTATTTTCATGCCTCTTACTATACAATTTCATGTATAGTAATATGCAATATAAAATATATAATTATATAACATTTAATATATATATAAAGGCCTATAGAGTCAAATTTGAGTCCACAGCTGTCATTCAATGTGGGTTCATCCACTGGATC